TAATCATAATCGAGTTAAAATGTTCATTTAATTGAAATTTTAATTTAATCCAAATTGCCCAGCCCTAATTCAGACTGCACAATATATTGTTATGCACCATTTAGGGATGGTGCACAAGATAAAGGCATATGCAAAGACTTAAACAAGAAACTAAGGGTGCTTTCACATCTGTAGTTCGCTTCACTTGGTCCAGACCAAGGGCAATAAATGATACATTGTAGCATTTTCTGCCGCCTTTGGGTCGTTTTCACACTACGATTGCTTTGGTCCGAACCAGATGAAGAGACCAAAATGCAGTTATCTGACAAAATCCACAATCATCTGACAAAATCCTCATCACTCATTGGCCAGATGTTGTTGAACATAGTTCCTAAACTGCGTATCGATTAGTCAGAATACACATGCGGAAAAATGGCAATGGAACTCACAAAAGTAAACAAACCGGCAGACACAAAATGTCACTTTTTACTATGGAGGGACGACTGCGCTGACTGATTGTATCCCTGCACATAGTATACTATATAGTTTGCATACATCACTTTAGACAAACTATACATTTTGAAAATGAAGCGTGGCCGCAGCTGGAAAACAATGTTTTAATGCATCGCGCGTCACTTCAGGAGGAGACGTAAATTAATTTAGCTAAACTGCTACATGGTCATCTTGCAAAAATATTACCAACGATCCATCAGGTAATGTTTTTCCCTCTCTCTCTTTCTGTTGGAAAAATATTTTTCCTCCATATCCTGCACAGCTCGTCGACCTACGTTTGAAAGCATACCGAGACCACCATTTCAAGCAGGTCTCGGTATGCTTTTTTGGTCCGCTTTTGGTGCGCGCTTGAGTACGATTGCTACATTCACACCTGCCCAAATGAACCGCACCAAGAAGGCAAACGAACTCTAGTGTGATTCAACCGAACTAAATAAGGCAGGTGTGAAAGCACCCTTAAACGTGAAACTTTTTAAAAATTAAAGTTCTGTAATCCAATGAGGAGCTAGTAACAGCAAGCGACAACACACAATCAGCCTGTAGTAACCAGCCAGAGATAGATAAAAACGTTAATCCATTACCTTTAAACGTTAAATTAAGCCTCTAAAAATATAGTAGGAATGTAAAATTTGTAATAACAGAGAACTTGTACTAAAACAAAAATTTTCAAAGCTAAAGATCACTAATACACAGACTCTGGTTCCAAAAGCGGCCATATTTATTTCTTTTTCATGACCGTATATAGACAGTAAGTGAAGTTGTAGAGAAAGGGGATGGGGTTTGGTAAATGTCCGCGAGCCAAAACACGAACTTGGTATGCCTGAAGCGCAGAGGGCCTATATGTCGGCACACTAGCCACAAGGCCATACTAGATATTTGGGCTGAACTTTTCTGCAGTGGACAGAAGCTCACTGAAGACAAAGTACAAACAACAAAGTAAGTGTGTTGGAGCTGGCAAACACCGATATAGGGACACTGGAGTGTTTTAAAGCTGCGAAGATCAGTTGATTCATCAGCGGATCATTCATATGTCAGCTCATAGAAAGACCAGCCCAACTTTGCAGCTTTAAAATCCTCCAGTGTCCAGTGGTGGAGAGTGGTAAACTTCATGGAGTCATTTCTGTTGAGCACGTGAAAGCAACGCCGAATCAGAGTATGGTCAGAGTTGAGCTAAAGCCTGCACTTTATGAATGATATGAATGATGTGGCCTGCACAATCTTTAACTTCCAGGCCACATCATTCATGATCAGTTATGACTTTCTATTCATTTCCAAAATCTTCCATTTTTCCTGCTTTTTTTGTCATTCAAATACCATCTCAAACTCTGTGGTTTGTGTTACAAACACAGATCCATATTGGTGCCACCGATCCATATTGGTGTTCCTTCCCTAAACAAGAACGATTGCACATTTCACCCATGAGATTTGGCCGTGATATACGAGTAGTCATGTGGATGGAATTCAAAATCAATCTGGTTAATGTTGCATCACTCTTTCCAGAATGGCTTGCAGAGATCCGTGCCATTCAAAGTGAAGAGCTCTCTTTATCGCAGTCATTAGTTCCGCCATATTCACTCCGTAGGATACGCCTGTGAAGGGCATCTGAAATGTCTCTCTATTGGCATAGACAGGAGCATGAAAATGTCGATAGCCCTAACCGCTTGATGCTTTGTGGATTTGGTTTCGAATCCGTGTATTCCTGTCAACGTCACTCTGTCCAAACTGTCCCACATGTCTTGTGACGGTGTTAAAATCCCAGCGTTAGATGGTTGATTTGTCCATCTAGTGTTGTCGTTTTGATGAAGAGCTTAAGCTAGCCACCTGATCTGGCAATATCTTTGAGACATGCTCTGCTGGGCATGACAAGAGACTGTGAATCATTGAGTGGTGACACCTCTGAACGTGAGGAATCATTGCTTTTTACACAGCTGCCACTGGAAATGTCTTGTCCTGTTCAAGGTCAACAGGATACACAATTGTAAGGGCTGAAATTTTCATACCTCCTTTTCACAACTGAAAGTGTGATTAGACGAGATTCGCAAAACGGTTTCCTCACCCTCAGAGTGTGGAGCATCAGTCTTTGCATTGCACACAGCCATAAATAAAAGTAGAGGCAGGTTATCGCTGATGGCATAATCATGACTAATTATCTTGTTTTATACAATGTTACCGCATGCTTCGCAGCACGACTCGCTACCCCCATTACCGTGAGACACTCGAGCAGCATTAAGCATGTTAGACACGGGCCAGACAGAGGGCAAACCATGCTACAGTTTGCTGAAAAACAATTACGGTGCTTTGGTATTCAAACACCAGCCCAGTCTGGGGAGTTTACACTGATTCATTCTTCATGTGACCGTTTTGTCTCCCAGGCTCATATTTGATTTAATGTGTGCTTGATTACGTTCAACTTCACATTAATGCGTTCAAAGGGAGCAAACACGATTTATTCCTCATTTAATAGTCTCCTCTTTGCATACGTCTTGCTTTTCGCTCGTCGGCCTGATTAATTGGTGTTCTCAGACTGTTACTTAACGGAGATGGAGCACAGCTGTAGACTCTCGACTCAGATTGCGCAGGATTCATGACCACTAATTAGCGGCCCGCTTGACCAGATGCTTTACCAGGGGCAGTGTCACCAGCAAAGGCCTTTCTTATCAAACATCCACCATCAAGAAATGATGGGAGTGCACTAAAGCACTTCCCAGGTCTTTGTTTACACACAAAGCTGCTCTTTGGCATGGAATTTTTAGCCACACCAGACAATTAGCTCATGACAGTCGCAGGATAATGTCATGCTATCTCTGTAATCAAATAAACACCAAACTCTACAAAGAGCATTTCAGAAGGGATGACAGTCTACTGTATTACTATAATTATTGCTGTGGTCTTGTTTACAACACTCATTGCTACCTAAAAAGTTAAATTCTGTTACCAGCAGTCTAATGATGCTGTTTCTCTCAAAAATAATTGTTTGAGGAAACATTTATGAACATCACCAAAAGCCAAGCATAGTTTTTTTTTTTTGGTCTTTTACAGGAAAACTGCAGTGTCTGCATACCTATACATAAATATACTTTGTGCTTATGATATACAGCGAAACTGTTTGCTCAGTTAAACATGAAGTTTGAACTGTAGGCCTACATAAACTCGAAACAGTGAATTTTTACAAATTTTTTTTTATTGCCTTATTCCGACTAAAGTCATAACTGAACTAAACAGAAATGGAATTAAGACATGTGGAGGATGCATATATTAGTGCCATTATTGAATTAAACATTGCAAAATGCGTAAGTTTTTTTCTTTCCATTTGACGTGCGTTATTAATTTCCATAACACTCTCGCCAGTCCTTACTCCTTATTTGCTTCTAATACCATAGTTTGTCACGGGGGCATGAATGAAATGTTCATGACTGAATGTGAAACTGCCGAACTGCAGTTAAAGTCACCCAAAATCACAGGAAACTCTTACTTGAAAGCACTACAGGCAAACAGCTTAATTGTATTATTGTCTATTAAGGCAAATAAGATTACAGATGTCCATGTAAACGTAGTCACTAGTGTCTTCGAAGTAAGTGAAAGATCCAGAAGGGTATCCTGCTGATCTGATTCAGAAGGGCACTTTTTTTGTCGGATGGCTCACTGGTCAGGTATATATCCGTGCTGAAATATCAATGTGAAAGTCATTATAGCTTGCTTAGATAAAACCCAGCTCCCAACCCAACTTTGAGAATAGATTAACAACGATATTTTTTATCGCGCAATATAAGTCTCACATTAACATAGCATGTTGACACCGATAATGGCCCACCACTATGCATTATATATATCAGGATATGAGATGTTTATGATATCACCCATCCCTACTTGGATGCAATGTCTATTATTTATTAGCACAAGGTATGAGTCTATTGTTTACATTTTTTATTTATTTTTTTTATAAGCCATAGTGGTTTAACAATAGATTTATGAGAATTTTACTGTTGTTTCAGGAACAGTTGGGACTGATGTCAATGTTTCCAACAATCCACTAAACTATTGTAAATAGTAGTGAAATGTGGTGCATCCACACTTACTGTTACTCTGTGAAATTCTGCATATAATCTCCAGTCATTGTAATGGGAATTTCTGGATTAATCTTGTTTTTTTGAGAGAGAAGAAGTTTACCTCTTAGATTGTGTTAATGTGGGTTTGGCCAGTTCTATGCATCTTACAGTTATTGGCAAGACGCAGTGGGCTTTAAGAATGTTTAGTTTTGATGAAATCATTGCATCATTCTGTTGTTGTATAGGAAATGCCACCTCAGGTTGCATGGGTAACTAAAATAAAGTCCTTCTAGGGTGACCAATCAATCATTTTGTTTTTGAACGAACCATTTACCCCAAAGTAAATTTAGACAAATATCTGCTAAATTTCTATTCTAAGAACTTGTAGGAATGCTTCAGTCTTGGTTTGTAGGTCTTTAATTTATCATTTCCCCATTATGTTTTGGTTGACCCCTCATTAAGGTTCGTGTTGGTGAAGTTGGAGGAAACACCCTGGGTTTCTATGGATGTCAGATGAGTCCAGACGGCTCTATGATTCTGGCTCATGCCTTTCATGGGGCACTACACCTTTGGCACCATGATAGCAACCAGGTCATACTTCAGTAGCCTAAATATTTTTTATGCAGACATTAATTCTGAATGTTCTTATTCAGTAATCAGTAAAGTCTGTGATAATTCACACTAAATGTGATAAATCAATATGGAGATTTGTGTCTTGCACAGGAATGGAGGCCTAGTGTGGTCATTTCAGGTCACTTTAACGCAGTGCAGGACATGAGCTGGGACCCCGAGGGAGAGTTTATCATCACTGTTGGTTCAGACCAAACCACCAGACTCTTTACACCCTGGACGAGAAAAGGAAGCTCACAGGTTTCGACAAATATCAGAACTTTAACCCTTTGTTTATTTTTTATTAATTGATTATACACAATGGTTAGATGTAAAGTGATGTGCCTTTACAGATTACCTGGCATGAGATCTCAAGACCGCAGATCCACGGCTACGATATGCAGTGTCTGACTATGGTTGGCCGCTTTCAGTTTGTGTCCGGTGCTGACGAAAAGGTCCTTCGAGTGTTCAAGGCTCCGCGGAATTTTGTGGAGAACTTCGCCCACATATCAGGCACCTCTCTGGAGAAACTGCTGGGCTGTAATGTAAGTACTGAGAATCATCTCATCTTCACACTTTAATTAGTTACATCAAATAAAACCAGGATTTTAATTACTCTTTGCGCCGTCTTGGATCAGCGAGAGATTTTAAGATGAGTCTCACATTTTCTCCATTATCTTAATCCTAATGTTTATGCAGATATATACTGAATGAGTTTCATTTTCTGTAACTTCAGGTCATGGTAAATGAAGCTACATAAATGGCACTCTCATTTCAGGTTGATCTTGTGTAATTAAGTGAATATCATGCATCTTGTGCAGATTACTACATTTTAACTTTTATTTTTAAGAGTTCACATCAGAGTTTTCACAGTTGGACTAGTTATCATTCCTAGGGTCATTCCAAACCTATTAATGAGTATTTGTATACATTATGTTGCTTTTCTAAGCATCTAGCCCAAAACATTTTAACGCATTCATACTTTAATATTGATATGATATTGATCAATTAAATAACAAATGATAATGTAATTATACTACAGTCTTAAAAAAAAAGTCAAATTTTCTTTTCAAAAAGTCAAAAATTATTTCTTAAATAATGGTTTGTATAAAGCACTGAAATGACGTCCGCAAACTAATAAATTACTCTAGTAAATCGCAAAGTGTAAAATTTATTTTTCTTTTTTTTTTTTTTTTACATTTATTTATTTATTTATTTATTTATTTATTTAAAATAAAAAAATCTAGTCAGCTGTGTTTATGAGGTGCTAATGAAAATTCACTGCATGTCTTTGGTAAATCCTATTTTTTATGCCAAATTATGTGCGATGAAATATTCATATTTTGGAAAATATAACAATATATAATATGGAAAGGTTGCGAGTACCATCTGAAATGTGGCACAATTGTCTGTGCATTTAAAAAACGAAATATGGAATTGTACTTTGGAAAAGGACTTTAATTTAATCACTTGTTTTAAAGGGCACCTACAATGAAAATCATCTTTTGTAAGCTGTTTGGACAGAACTGTGTAGGTATAGTGTGTCCACAGTCATAGTGGAGTGATAGAAACCCAAACTTTTCTATAATGGGAGGATCCAAATCCCTCCCATTATGAGACCTACTGCAACTTGACACATGACAACTTGACTACGGTTTCCCCGCCCACCGAATTGATTGACAGCCACGTATTAACATGTGTCCGTAGTAACATGTATAATCGTTTCAACAAGACAAGACCTGCGCAAAGCAATCGGGATTAAATGATCTCTTCAGCTCTCTGTATTCAGCAGCACCTCAAGAATGAGTTTTACAAGTTTAAAACGTTTCTAAAGCCATGCATGTTTGTAATAAAGACCGTAAGATTGATTCGTAATTCTTTACCACAGCCACATGTCAGTTGTGTGCACATGTGCGAGCAAACTTTATAACGACATTGTGTGTGACTCGTTGTTGTAGAAAGACTTTAAGAATTATATTCACAACAAATCCATCAAATAGCTTTTGGGAAAGTTCTCACTGTAGTAAAGGAGATCTGCTTCATTCTTGTCTGATACTGTGCTGCTAATGCATGAGACGCAGCAGGAGAAGCTACACCCATCATAGCAATAGTGAGCGATCTCTGACACAAACGTGGTAACGGTGGGTAGGGGGATGCAACTCATTTGCATTAAAGGCACAGGCACCAAAACAGCTACAAAGTCAAACTAGCTCTGATTTTCAATATAAACAAAGGTATAATAAATAATCTGATGGGTATTTTCAGCTGAAACTTTACAGACACATTCTGGAGACACAAATGACTTATCTTAAATCTTGAAAAAGGTGTAAAATAGGTGCCCTTTAATACATTTTCTGCTTTTTGTATTTTTTAAATGTATAATTTGTTGAAATGTTTTTTTTTTCTTCCTAAAACCAGTGTAGTTTTTTAGAATGAATATTTGCACATTTTACAGTTTATTAGTTATTATTTCTATAATTGTGTTTTTTTTTTTGTGTTTTTTTTCTTTTAGTGGAAAAAAAAGTTTTTCTTTGTGGATGTTTTATTGTGCAGATTTCAATTACACATTGATGTTAAATATTTAAATATTTTGCTTCCATTTGTAAGTTAATAACAATTGGTTCTTTACATAATTTGATATATCATTGAACATAATCAAATTGAGATATACAGTTGAAGTCAGAATTATTAGCCCCCTCCTCCTGTTCATTTTTTCCCCAATTTCTGTTTAATGGAAAAAAGATTTTTTTCAACACATTTCCAAACATGATAGTTTTAATAACTCATTTCTAATAACTGATTTTATCTTTGCCATGATGACAGTAAATAATATTTTACTTCCATACAGCTTAAAGTGACATTTAAAGGCTTAACTAGGTTAATTAAGTTAACTAGGCAGGTTAGGGTAATTAGGCAAGTTATTGTATAACGATGGTTTGTTTTGAAAACAGTCGAAAAAAATTGGCTTAAAAGGGCTAATAATTTTGACCTTAAAATAGCTTTTAAAAAATTTAAAACTGCTTTTATTCTAGCCGAAATAAAGCAGAAAAGACTTTCTCCAGAAGAAAAAATATTATCAGACATGCTGTGAAAATTTCCTTGCTGCTTTGTTGAACATTATTTGGTAAATATTTAAAAAAAGAAGATAAAATTCAAAGGGGGGCTAGTAATTCTGACATCAACTATATATATATATATATATATATATATATATATACATATAAATAAATATATACATATAATGTTCTGCATTTAAGACAGAATTAGATCAGTTAATAATACCTAATGAAACTCTAGTGTATAGAAAGTTTTATATATAGAGGTTTTACAGTGTCGCTCTGTCTCCTGGGTATTCAGGATATAGCAGATCTCCCAGAAGGAGCCAGCACTCCTGCCCTTGGCCTGTCCAACAAGGCCGTGTTTCAAGGTATGAACCCTTTGAAATGGTCAACCACTGGAGAATTTACATTGTGTTGATCCTGAGAGTAAAGGCAGTTGCTAACCTTTTACTATGGCGTCTGTTGTTTTTACAGGTGACCTCGCGTCACCGAGCCCTCAACAGGATGGCGGAGATTTCAATAGCCTGTCTGACCAATATAAGGAGTCCTACTTTCAACCTCTCAAACTCGCAGGTACTCATCATAACATGTTCTTATGCCAGAGTTTTTCATCTGATGGGTAAACAAATTGTAATAGCAGCTTCAAAAATATGTAAATTATTAATACTGAACAATTATCAGATCTATGAATAATACATGATGTCATAAGTTCTTAGCCAACACGAACAGCCCTCCAGACAAACATTTATTAAATTTTTTAATTTACCAGAGGTTCTGACAATACCATAGCTGCAGTAAATTTTAAAAACAATTGATTTGCATAATTTAGTCAAGCCATTTATTTTTAATAATTGATTCAATGAACTACTTGTAAAGATCTCACTTGTTTTAATTAGCGTTTTTGATCCTGTGTAATTTAGTGTGTATAATGCATCTAGTGCAGCCAAAAGCAGTCATTCTTATATTAGAACCAACTAACAACAGGGGCCAAAATAAATTAAGACATGATTCCATTATAGGAATGATTCAGTAACATATTTAATAGTTATCTTAATGCATTATTCTAATAAATGGGTAAATACATATATAATAGTTAATTAGCGGTGGACTTGGCGATTGGAAGGCTCTAAGCAATTTCAGGTGTGGGGTCTAAGCATTGAAATTCAAAACAGTCTCTTTTTTGCTCTGTCAATTCGTTTTTGTTTTGTTTTTTTGCAAATAAACCGCTTGTTAAAAATATATTTTAAGTAGTCCCTTTTAATATAAAATTAAATACAATACATTCACAAATAAAAAAATAAGTTCACAAACTAACTATATACAGTTAATCAGCCATATTTGAGGTTAGATTTTAGTATTTGCATGTGCAGTACGGAAGGAATGTTCCACTATTCATAAGAGCCCCTGGTTTTAAAAGGGTCAATGACATTAAAATCTTAATGGTTCTTGACAGATTGTACAACATGTGATAGATCATTTATAAAAGAGCTATATGATTAATATAGGCTTCTTGGCACTCTTCGGGGCTCCCTAATTTCAGGGGGCCCTAAAGGCTGATTTATACTTTTGCGGCAAGCGCACACGTATGGCCCGGCGCAGACTTTGTGCAGTCGCATAGCCCCTGCCGTGGCTGGCGCTGACAATCACCTCTCAAAAAATGTAACTACACGTCGCAACAATGCGTAGCGCAAACTCTGTTATTTCTTGGTTTGGTTTTGCTGAGAGGTGGTGCTGAGAGCCGCGAGCTCAGTGGAGCGATTGTTTGCACGTCAAATCCTCACTTATTATTTAATGGTTAATACTAATTATGATATTTTTATGTTTTTTAAAAATTTGATTGCTACAGTATATATCAGTTTTTTTTCTTTTTTTTTTTTCAAATTTCAAACCCCTTTATAAAAGAATACAATTTTAATTAATCACTTATTATTTAATAGTTCATATTTATTATCAAATATTTACGTTTTTAACAACAATTTAATGGCTACACTATATATATCCATGTTTATTTTCAAATTTTAAACTCCTTTATGAAAAAAATTAAAACTAAATGAATAACTTATTATTTAATAGTTAATTATAATTATCAAATTTTTAATGTTTTTTAGCATGAATTTGATAGCTACAATGTATATTTTCAAGTTTTAAACTCCTTTATAAACAAATAAATTTTTAATGAATCACTTATTGTTAACAATAGTTATTATATTTATTTTTTTTTACAGGATTTAGATTCCTACAGTGTATATCCATATGTATTATATATATCTAAATAAATAATATTTATATTATTTAATAGCTAATAATAATTAACTTTTTTTTTTTTACTTTTTTTTTTAAACATGAATTTGATCGCTATAGTGTACATCAGTTTTTTTTAAGTGCTAAACTCCTTTATAACTGAATAACATTTTAATTAAATACTAATTTAATGATTAATAATAATTATCACATTTTTAAGTTTTGTTTTTTAATAATTTGATCGCTACAGTGTATATCAGTGTTTATTTTCTAATTTTAAACCTATTTATAAAAGAATAAAATATAAATTCACCACTTAATATTTAATTTACTTTTTGTAGCAGCAGGTCAGTGTTTTGTTTCACTCATGGTACTTTTACCTATAGTTTGACAATTTAATCTTTACTGTTACTTAAAACATTAAAGAAGACATTTAATATGCTTTCATTTTTTTTGTATATGAAATACAATTTGCAAATGTAGTTGAATGCATATACTTAAACAGGACTACTCATCTTTGACCCATACCGCTATGTTTACTCTGCATCAGGCTTCTGTTTGTTGAGTTGCTTCTAGAAAACACAAAGATGTGCTTCATTTTTGACAGGCAGTTATTACGACTGTTTTGGCTGGTTTATTAATGTATCTGGGGCATGAATCAGAGATACTGGAAACAAATGTTATTACAGCATGAGATGGGGGGGTTCTGGAGTGTTGCAGCACGGGGTTTATGCCTCTCTTGCTTCAGGCGAACAGTGGCAAACGTTGTCAATGTGATTGAAAAAGCTCCTTAATCTGGAATCATAATTAGAAAGAAGGCTTATATAATTGCAAAGTTAAAATATTGATGACTCTGGGCTATAGGGAGCGCAATGAGGCGGACACAGAGTTGTTAATGGAATAATACCACTCCCTCCATCTCACTTCTTATGGAGGGGCTAAAAAAAGAGGAAAATAATTAAAGTGAAACTGCAAACCAGGGATGAATAAAAATAAAATAAAAAAAAGCCTGGTCTCCAATCCATTTCAATTGGGGCATGTGTTGCATAAGTGTCTGTGTATCTAAATGAGACGATATTATTTCCGGCTCGCACAAAGAAAGCTCAATTTGATTTACAGCATGTCGTAAAGCTAACGGCCATTGAAAATTGTAGATAAAGCTGCCGTTGTTCCAAACAGCTTTGAGTAAATTGCTCAGCTGTGAATCTGTTGCTGAATTAAAAGATGAGCCTGTTGAAAAAAATATGGTCTATAGGCTTCTGCATATTTCACATAATAACTGCACACATCTTTTTTTTTTTCTGGCTTATTTTCAGAGCCTCCGACAGAGGACGACCTCTTGCAGAACACGCTGTGGCCAGAGGTACAGAAGCTGTGAGTTTCCTATCAGTCCTCATTGGCTATTGCAGCAGCAGGCACTAATGCTGACTGCATTATTGCTTAACCAGCGTGTGTGACATTAATAATGCAGCCTAATAGGTATTTAGAGCTCACAAGAGGAACCATTCATTCTGTGTGTGGTGAAACTAACAAGAAAAAAACTAAATTGATTAGTAAAGAATGTCTTTTTCTAACTTTATGCTTTTTCATGTAACGAATGAACAAATGTGAACGCAGATGCTTCTAGTAGGTTCAATGTTTTGCGTAGATGCACAGTTGAAGGCATTTCTAATACCTCTTGAGGTCTTCTATCACTACTAATAATAGTAATAATAATAATAAACATCATAATAATATTATTGTTTTATGTTACAACATGACAGAAAACAACATGAATCAACAAGTCATTTTTAGATCTTACCCAGCACCAAAAACACACACAAAAGGCAATTGTGTAAATTGTACATTTTCTTCAAATGTCCCATGGACAAATGTGGAATTATTAAAGGGGTGGTCCACTATGATATCATATTTTGAACTGTAGTTGATGTGTAATGTAGCTGTGTGAACATAAACAGCATATCTGAATGTAAGACTCTCAAAGATCAATGCAATAGGGAGAAATTGGCTTTTACAGAGTTAGCTTAGCAAAGCCTACAGCAAACGAAGTTTGGGTACTACAAAAAAAGAAACATCTGGGCTAGTGATATTACAAGCGTTTCAGGTTATGCGCATACACCACGCACATACACCCCGCGTGGGGTAGGGGCCTGGCCAGAGGCGCTGTAATGTTGAAATGCTGCCATTTCAACAGAGCTTGTTCTGTTTGTGTATTTGGGCTTCCAAAGGAAACAACATAAAGAGAGAAGTGCTTACAGTTTTATTTTAATTATTCATTCATTCATTCATTTTCTTTTCAGCTTAGTTCGTTTATTAATCCGGGGTCTTTACAGCGGAATGAACCACTAACTTATTGAGCCTATGTTCTACGCAGAGTATGACCTTCCAACCCATCTTTGGAAAACATCCATACACACTCAATCACACTCGTACACTATAGCCAATTTAGCTCACCCAATTTGCCTGCACCGCATGTCTTTGGACTGTGGGGAAAACCGGAGTACCCGGAGGAAACCCCAGTAAATGTGGGGAGAACATGCAAACTTCACACAGAAACGCCAACTGACCCAGCCAAGGCTCGAACCAGCGACCTTCGTGCTGTGAGGTGACAGCACTACCTACTGCGCAACCGCGTCACCTTAATTTTAATTATGTTCCAGAGAATTAAAAAAACGTATAGCTAGCATTTGACAAAGAACAGCTTCCAGAATCTCTCTTAGTTCAGTGCTGGATTTATCTAAAATCTCCTCAAAGAAGGAGCAGCTCCAACCATAACAGACGAAGCTGTGGATTGTGAGCCAGAACCTGTAAGGGTTTTTATTTGTTAAAATTTATTTATTACCTGCACAGTTTCTAGCGTTAATGTTATGTTGTAGCAAGGACGCAAACAAGGATGTAAACGAAGGGAAATGCTGTTTTGCACCGTTAACACTTGAGCTGTAAATTCATATTTATCCATCAAACCTTTGTAAACACTTACAATTTTCACCAGCACTGCAGTGTCTTTCTATCCGGCCTCTCTACAGCTCAAAAAACGAATTTGCAAAAGATATGTGAACGCTTTATATTATTTATACATGTTTAGAACCTGAATATATATGACAAACATTTGTCAGATGTTATGTGAGGTTCAGCTGTGTGCTCTTCATTTTCTGTCTGATTCAAGTTCAAACTGATAGAGCTAACAGTTACACTGACTGACAGTATATATACAACACAGACACAGAGCATGCTAGTAATGGCATGACTCTTCTTGGTGACGTGCAGTCGATCTATGAATCACAGCACATTATGTTAGCCGACCAATCAGAGCCTCTTGAGTCGAAGGAACTAGAAAATCTGGATGACTTTTTCCATGTTAACTTAGTAGCTGTATATAATTAAAGTAAAATATATGAAAAAATAAGGTAATTTTTTTTTTTAATCAAATAAAGCGTAAGCACACCTTGCTTTGCACCCCATGATCCCAACCAAGCCTTAAAATAGACTCTGGACCAGCCCTTTTATAAAATGTATTTGTTGACCAATTTTTTTTTTTGCTTTGTTTTTTTGTGTGTGTTGGCTAATGCCAGGTATATGATCATTTATCATTTTAATTTTAATTATTATTTGTGAATTGATTATGTGGTTATTGTTCGAAAGTGCATACACTAAACATGGTTTAAAAATGATATTCTATTATTAATTTGAAAAATCTAATTCTTTTGTTAAGTACCATATTAAATAACTGATATTTTGCAATTTTATTGAGCTTCATGTTTTTGAACCATAATCATTAGACAAGAATCGACCAAAATGTAGTTACTATATATCATCCTATTAATCACATTAATCGTATCAATTTCTTAAAGACACTTCAGACAAACATTTAATGACAAAAGAGTGCATTTTCATCAGATTTCCATATACACTCACCGGCCAATTTATTAGGTACACATTACTAGTATCAGGTTGGACCCCTTTTACCTTCAGAACTGCCTTTATCCTTCGTGGCGCAAATTCAACAAGGTACTGAAAATATTCTCAGATTTGTTTTTTTAATTGACATGATGGCATCACCCAGCTGCTGCAGATTTGTTGGCTACACATCCATGATGCTAATCTCCCATTCCACCACCTCCCAAAGCTGCTCTATTGGATTAAGTTCTGGTGATTGTGGAGGTCATTTAAGTACAGTGAACTTATTGTCATGTTCAAGAAACCAGTCTGAGATGATTCGCGCTTTATGACACTGTGCGTTATCCTGTTGAAAGTAGCCATCAGAAGATGGGTACACTGTGTTTATAAAGGGATGGACATGGTCAGCAACAATACTCTGGTAGTCTGTGGCGTTGACACGATGATCAATTGGTACTAATGGGCCTAAAGTGTGCCAAGAAAGTATCCCCCACACCATTACCCTACTGTACCGCCACCAGCCTGAAGCATTGATACAAGGCAGGATGGATCCATACTTCCATGTTGTTGATGCCAAATTCTGACCCTACGATCGAATGTCGCAGCAGAAATAAAAACTCATCAGACTAGGCAACGTTTTTTCAATCTTCCATTGTCTAACTTTGGTGAGCCTGTGTGAATTGTAGCCTCAGTTTCCTGTTCTTAGCTGACAGGAGTGACACGGTGTGGTTTTCTGCTGCGGTAGCCCATCCGCCTCAAAGTTTGGCGTGTTGTGAATTCAGAGCTGCTCTTTTACGTACCACGGTTGTATCGAGTGGTATTTGAGTTACTGTTGCCTTTCTATCAGCTGGAGTCTGGCCATTCTCCTCTGACCTCGGGCATCAACAATGCATTTGCTCCCACAAATTTGCAGCTCAGTGGATAGTTTCTAGAGATGGTTGTGCGTGAAAATCCCAGTAGATCAGCAGTTTTTGAAAAACTCAGACCAGCCCCTCTGGCACCAACAATCGTTCCATGTTCAAAGTCACTTAAATCAGCTATCTTCCCCATTCTGATGCTCGATTTAAACTGCAGCAGATCGTCTTGACCATGTGTACATGCCTAAATGGATTGAGTTGCTGCCATGTGATTAGCTGATTAAAAATTTGGGTTAATGAGCAATTCGACAGGTGTATCTAATAAAGTGGCCATGAGTGTATATAGTATGTTATTCTATTATTTTATTATCAATAGGATAATAGAATGTTGTCAACTTCATGTAAAGAAGAATTACAGTATTGAGACATAATATGTCAAAAACAAAAACAAAACACGGCAGTTTAGCTGCAGATTTGCTTTAAATGCTGATATCTGGCTACCTGAATAGCATCTACATTAATAGCAGACATTTGACGTCTCTAATCAACCACTTTGCTTACAGAGAATTGTTGCTGCAATTTCAGTGCAATGGCAGCATTTGCATCAAGCAAGCATTTGTCTCTCCGTTTGCCTTCTTGTGCATAGTATTTCCTAACCTTTCGTTAACACAGAAAATGACATACGACTCTGACATTTGCTGAAACTGCTCGCAATATAGTACAAAATCGGGTGCTTACTGGCATTTTGCATTAGTTGAATAATGCGGTTTATAATTCAAATGATGTTTTCCAAAATTATTGCAGATTAACAGGGTATTTTTCATAATTAAATATTCGCATTTACAATCGATTTTAATGTACAGACTTGCATTAATAAGAATTCAAAGTCGGTTTCCCTGATACACAGGCGGGTGGCACTGGATAAACTCTAATAATTTACATACACAGCTGTAAGGCGCTGAAGGCTTTTGACAGCCCGGCTTTCGTGAGCTATTCATCCAGCGCTGGAAATTACTAAGCAGATCTGCTAATGGCTGCCAGAGCACACGGCTTTCTTCCACTCCCATAAGCACAGGAGAGAGCGCTGACACACACAAAGCAGCCGCGGCGTTTGAATCACCGCCCCGACTGTCTTTCTCAAGCTGTCACGCTTCTCAAGCTTTATTTGGGAGCAGGTACTGACAGAGCCCTCATTAACATAGCCTCTCTCTGCAGGTACGGGCATGGCTTTGAGATGTTTTGTCTGGCGTCGGATTGTGCGAGGACGGTGGTGGCCTCGGCGTGTAAGGTACAATCACACGGGTGGCCAGATGGTCATTAGTGTCACACAAATGTAGCAGTGGGCAAGGGGTGTGCAATTTTGGCAAACGAAAAAAAATAAGAACAACAATTAAGCATTTTGATGATTGTGTTTTTGTGCTGGTACCTTGGCTGATTTAGGTCATGAATAAAAAAATAAATGTCACAAAAAAACTGCCAGTAGGTGGAGACATGGCCACATTAGGCTTCAAATTGTGCAAGTTGAAAAACACACTCACTCCCAATTATCGTTAAAAAAAGTGATGTCTTCAGGAAGTGGTTTTTCAGGCAATTTGAAAATATAGGAATACTGTAATACAAAACTGTAATAGAAATATTTTTTTCTTGTTTTAAGTTTAGATGCAATCTGAGCTAAAAAAAAAAAATTGATCAATATTTTTTGAAATTTTTTTTATTATTATTTTTTATTTAATATTTTATTGACAACCTAAATCTGATCATATTTTGTACTTGGATGACCTTCGACTTCCGGTGAGAAGAGTGAAACAGAAAAATTTACTGTTTTGTCAATATTGTGACTAATGCACCCTTGCTTCTGTTGCTTCAGCCTGTACCTACAGTTAAAGTCAGAATTATTAGCCCCCCTTTTTATTTTTTATTTTTTTTTGTGTAATTAGGCAAGTTATTGTATAACGATGGTTTGTTCTGTAGACTATTGGGAAAAAAATATAGCTTATATAATTTTTATTGTATAAGTATATAATAAAATAAAATTTATAGTATATAATAATTTTCACCTTAAAATGGTTTTAAAAAAATAATAACTGCTTTTATTCTAACCGAAATAAAACAAATAAGACTTTCTTTTGTAGAAAAAATATTATCAATATTATCTGTGATAAAATCCTTGCTCTGTTAAACATCATTTAGGAAATATTTAAAAAAAGAAAAGAAGTTCAAAGGGGGGCTAATAATTATGACTTCAACTGTATAAACATATCCTCCCTTTATATTAGTGGTGTAACGGATGACAAATCTCACGGTTCGGATCAAATTGTGGTTTTTAGTCACGGATCAGATGATTTTTCGGATCAGCCAAAAAGGGGAGGAGACAAATGTAATTTGCTTTCCATTTATTACAAAAACAACACTGCAAGACACTTTTAGTTTCCTAAAATCAAGAAATAATCAGCTGAATAAAAATAAGTTGTAAAATATTTAGTATTAGGAATGTTACTACACTGTTAATACTACTGTTGCTGATAACACTACATGCATAAATCTAACATTATAACTTGTACAAACCATATTTATTTTTAGACTCATTGTCAGTAAATGATTTAGTTATTTACTCATAAAACTTCATGTTTCATTGCTAGATGTGTCATTTTTAAAGAATAATTCAGTAGCATAATTTTGAGGACATGACAGTCATTTTAATCTTTACCATAAACATCAGTGGTTTTATCTAAATTATCATAGTACTGATGTGTTATTTAACAGTTTGTAACTTCATAAACAACTCAAAAGACTAAAAACTGAATCTCTTTCTTGATTTTTGCATTTTTCAAACACAGATTTGAATGCAGCAATTCGAAGGATTTAATAAACAAATGCAAATCATCATCATTTATAATTTGTTGCGTAGGTGTTAAGATTTTGATCTTTTAATGATTAATCGTGCAGCTCAAACTGAATCTATTAATGCAGGCTAAACAAGCAGTAACAGAAAACACCTTTAATAACCTAAGAAACTCACCACATCCTGAAAAACCTACCACAACTTCTTCTGTCATCATTATATTTTACAGAAAAGCCTAAATGCTTTCATACATGCGATTTGAATGACATGAGAGGGGATCTCTCTGCGATCCTTACAAATTTAGGATCAATCTACAGGTAAAAAAATGTGTTAATCCGCGGGTCTCGTGTGTTCCGAACTGTGGGTTGTGATTTGTACGAATCACATATCAAACGTGATCCATTACACCCTTACTATATATATATATATATATATATATATATATATATATATATATATATATATATATCCTAATATGTATATATATATATATCCTAATATGTATATGTATATATGTGTGTGTGTGTGTGTATGTGTGTATGTATGTATGTGTTTAACAGAGCAAGGAAATAATATTTTTTCTTCTGAAAAAAGTCTTATTTGTTTTATTTCCGCTTGAATAAAAGCAGTTATTAATTTTTTAAACACCATTTTAGGGACAAAATTATTAGCCCCTTTAAGCTATATTTTTTTTCTCGATAACCTACAGAACAAACCATTGTTATACAATAACTTGCCTGATTACCCTAACCTGCCTAGTTACCTTAATTAACCTAGTTAAGCCTTTAAATGTCACTTTAAGCTGTATAGAAGTATTTATAAAATATCTAGTAAAATAATATTTACTGTCATCATGGTAAAGAGAAAACAAATCCATTATTAGAGATGAGTTATTAAAACTATTATGATTAGAAATGTGTTGAAAAAAATCTTCCCTCCGTTAAACAGAAAATGGGAAAAAAAATAAAATCTATTAATTCAAGGGGAGCTAATAATTCTGACTTCAACTGTGTATGTGTATATATATATATATATATATATATATATATATATATATATATATATATATATATATATATATATATATATATATAATTATTTTAAATAATTTCTTTTACATATATATGCATTTTGTACATACATGGATACATACATTTGTTTGTTTTCCTTTAACTGGAATGATATACAATAAATTTAAAAATAACAGTGAACCAAAACTGGCTGAAAAATGATTAATTTTGCAGGCGAACGTTTGATTTTGTTAGTAATTGATGTTTTCTTATTGTTACACTTTTTTATTGATTGAGTTGACATTTTATGCCCTTTTGTGCTTTAGCTCAAGATTCTAACCTCAAATCAGATACAGTAGCACATGGCATGTCTCAAACACAATTGTATGCATTTCCATCATATTACATCACAATAACTGATTTGACAAATAAATAATCTACTATTAGTATCTTAAACATTTGTACAAATTAATGAGAGAATAAAGACATGACTTCCTGTTTTCCGCCAGAGAAAGTGACATGTTTTTTTAACATGTCTTTACAGATCATCCTGTTTTTATTTTTGTTTTTTTGTTTTTGTAACCGATGAAGCGGTGTTGACCAGAATGTAGGGACACATACAAAATGATATTTTAGAACTAAAATACTGAAATATTTCACACAAGTATTTATTTGACTTCGTAAAGACAAATCAAAATAATAAAAATCATATATTTTTAAGTTGTTTTATCATATTTCAAGCTGAATGTGAGGAGTGAAGGTTTACCCATCATGTATGGAATTTAGGAGGCAGATAAGGTCAAATAAATAGGTATAGTGGGGGTCTTTAAGTTAATATTTTCAAGATTAATGTCCTTACATAAACGTACATATGTAATTTTTTTTTCAGGGATAATTTGAAATGATGCGTGTTATTATTTACAACTTTCATTTAATTTTGTGTAAAAATAATAGGTTTATGTTGGAGATGCTAACTCTAGAATCACCCATATACTATTATTTTATACTAACAAGCTTGAGCCAATTTCGACCTTACATCCACATGTCAGTTAATTTCTCTTCTCTTTATGTAATGAGCCAGCTGTCATCTTAAAAACGCATTGAACTCTTCTGACCAGGGTTGAAAAGCCAGCCCTAGATGCCCTCCGGCCACCGTGACACACATTCAGAGACAGCTGAAAGGAGATCATTGGTTTTGTGTCCTGGATTGGCCCCCGTGGTTCCGTCAAACCCGCGCTGATCGTGCACAAAGCTCTTCCGAGTGAAAGCACATTCTGCGTGTCACCTGCCATTGTTCACGCTCGAGCAGAGATTGTGAGGTTTATTCAGTAGGGCTGATGTCGGGCTGCTGCTGGGGTCCTGCAGGCTCAGATGACTTTGCTGTGGACATGAGGTTTATCCTCTAGTCCTGCTGGCTGAGCTGAATGTAGGACCAGAGCCCTACGGTTGAGGTTTAGAGAAAGAGGACAAGCTATGCTGAAAATGTGAGCTTCTGGTAGTTGTTAAAAAAAATGTCTTCTGTCACAGGCCTCTAAAGCAGAGCATGCATCTATTCTCCTCTGGAGCACAGCATCATGGAAACAGCTTCAGTCGCTGTCTTGCCACAGCCTGACCATTACTCAGATGGCCTTTTCCCCAAATGGACAGCTTCTGCTCGCTGTTTCTCGAGACCGCACATGGTCATTATGGAGAAGAGGAAACCCTGACTTGGATACAGGTGAGCATCATTTCTTCGCTTTCTTTTTAGATTTTACTGAAGTATAGATGGTGTCCTGTTTCATGTAGAATTTCCTAGACCTGTATAACCTTTTTTTCTTTTTTTTTTTGGTGGCAATTGCTTGACTGGTGTAAAACTAGGGATCTTATGGGAATTAGTTTTTTATTCACTGAAATAGCGATTAAAAAATGTCCTGTAAATTCTAACCATTTGCAATCATTTCAATATTTCAATTTAACAAATCAGTAACACTTTAGTTTAGGTCATAATTCATGCTATTAACTAGAGCTGTAATTGGGCCATAAATGTTAGGCCGGATAGGGCCTGAGCCTGACAGAATATGGCCTGAGACCGACAAGTATATTTTGATTGACAGCTTTTTAAGGGTGCTTTCACATTAGCACTTTTGGTCCGCACCCGGGTACGTTTGATGCCATTGTATGGTACGTTTAGCTAGTGTTAACGTGTCTTCTGAACTCGGGTGCGCACCCGTGAACCGTACCCGAGTCCGCTTGAAAGAGGTGGTCTGGGGTACGGTTCATGCGAACTCTGGTACGGTTCACTACTAATGTGAATGCAATCGTAACAAATCACGGAAGTGAACCGTCATTTGTACAACAAACTATTGTTTTCATAACGTTTGTTTGTGTTTGTGTGTGTGTGTGTGTGTGTGTGTGTGTGTGTGTGTGTGTGTGTGTGTGTGTGTGTGTGTGTGTGTGTGTGTGTGTGTGTGTGTGTGTGTGTGTGTCACGTTTCGTACCGGACTGAGCCAGAGCAAACACAGTAATACACAGTGATGTCTCCTACAAAAACAGCTCCTGCAGACACTGTGTGATGTCTGAATGTTTATAACATTTTTGCGACAGATGGACGCGAGTCGCTTTCAGTAGGTCCAAAACTAAAAGCTTCAGTAAAAGCAGAATGGCCGCGATGTGCGGATGTCTTTCCATTTTGGCGCTTGCTTTCGTGACCGTCACCTAGCAATGGCCGTGAACAAAACAGCAGCTCGATGATGCAAGCGTACCGGGGTTAGAAGGAAAAAAGACAGTATAAACACAAACAAACCGAGGAGGTGGCAGGGGGAGACAATCGAACTTGGGTATGGTCCAGGCAAATGAACCAAGTGTGAAAGCACCCTAAAAGCCAGAACGTGTTTACTTAAGTCCTTAAGGTGACGGTGAAGCTGAATATTAAAAGAATGATGCCATTAACTTATATACTCTGTCTGCATTATGCATTTTAAATTTAAATAATATTTAGTTTTCATTTGAAAATTCTTTATTCACCAAGAGTAGGCTTCATATTTTTGTGGAGGAACATTATTGAATCCACTGTAGATGGCTTTAGCACGGTGCTGCGCTCACTGATGGTGCTTCCAGATGCACTGAACACCCTTTCACTGCTGCTGCTGGCTGTGATGCATACTGTAGTACTACTCATCTGGCTAATTTTGCAAGTTTTGGATAGGATTGTTTGTTCATCTTCCACCAGCCAAGAACATCCATTTCATTTTCCATGAAAGCGGTTTCAGTGTATCGAGTGACCTCATCATTTTCCCTGTCAGCTTGCTGTACATTTTTCCCACTCTGCAAAATTCACTCATTTTGACTACTCATTTGTTTCCCCTTTGCAGGGATGGGCTTTAATAGTGTAACAAATGTTTGATTACTTCCTTGCGCTAATTGAAATGCATCACATGACTGTTCATTTACCGTGCAACAGGCTAGAGCCTGGCCTGACCCCGTCTTAAATGATAGAAATTAAGCCCGAACCCATCCGGTTCAGGCAAAGATCTTCAGCTCCACTATGAACTACTGGCTTGTCACATGCCTATTATCAAGATATTAACTGTTCATTAGTAGGTATAAAGTATGATCTTATTCTGCATCTCTACATCTCTAATCCTACCCAAAACCTAAACCCAATTTCTACATTCCTAACTGAAGAGTTTAGATTAGAATTTACTTGTAAAATGAGCATTTCTTTAAGGCTCTTATGTCTAGGTTCAGTAATTTCACTTTTTGGCAAATAATATGTTATTTTCATTGTCTTTAACATAAAATAAGTGAATAGAAACATAAGAGATGTTGATCTGCTGATGGCTGATCTGTTCGGCGAAAAATATGACTGCGTGTCACTGCAGCCCAAATGACTAAAATGATTTAACGATATAAAGAAATCTCCGCTGTGCTGAGCAACAGCGCTTCTTAAACTGAACAGTGGATCATCGATGATGTAAGCGTGCTCGGGCCCGAATGCAATCTGAGTGCGGGCTAAAGGGGGAGACGGTAGGGGGGGGCAAACATGCTTCGGCCTGGTTTAAGGCAACTGTACATAGTGTGATTATAGAGATTATGCTTCCTATTGGTCAATGTCACCTCATAAAGCATCGCAGACATGGCATGTGTGCCACGCTACACAAGAAGAAATGATTCAATCTTGTGTTCAGAGGCCCATTTGTGGTTTATAAATATCTGTGACACCCTACATCAAGCAAATAATGCCAAAAAAGAGGAAAAAGGAATGTAATCTGAACCAGGCTTTAACCAAACCTTTCTGAGACACTGAAAACTGTGAATCATGAATTACATGCATGTAAAATCACACGCTGCACTGCTTCACTCCAAAACAGACATATTAAATAATTAAATAACAGCCTTTGCTGTTTGATAACTGCACAAATCACAGTTTTGTGTTTATTTTGATTAATCGTGCAGCCCTATACCTTAAACCCCTTAAGAAATAAGATCCAGCAAGATGAATGGGAACTCTAACAGCTTCCTCCAGGGTTTATCGAGCTCCTTACTCATAGACAGCTTTTAGCCTCCTCCATTTCTCTTTGTCAACACTGAGAGTTTGCAGATGTTTGACCGCCCTGAGATTCTCCTGGCATTTAGCGGCAGTCGTCTAGCACCTCCCAGTGACCGCCCTTCAAGAGTATTCTACGAAAACGCGGCTAAATCACTGTTGACACAAGATAACTAGAGGAGCGTCTGTTTTTCTTCCTCCATTTTGTGACGTGTCCGAGGCCTGGCGCAGTCCGTTCTCGTTGAGGCGGGTATTACTCACAGCCTGTGTGCTGCAGACGTGGAGAGGTTATTCAGTGTCACAGCTGATCAGAGAACAGTCGAACGGTGTCATGTGTGGAGAAATCTCTATCGCAGAGACGAGCTGCCTCCCCTGCTGCCTCCCTTCTATTTGTCGGACCGCCTCTCTTTTGTTTTCTGGCTAATGAGTTGAGACTCGTCAGTGTGAGACTGGCCAGATGCGGCTGCCTGAGCTTTAATTAGCAGAGGCAGGCTTGTGTATTGGTGTGTTTCAGGGCACATGCATGGAGAGGGGTTACTGGCCAAGGTGGCATCGCCAGGGTGTGATGACCTCGATAACTGGACTCTAGGCCATCACTTAATTAGTCTACACTGTAAAAAATGCTGTGTTCCACACAATTGCTTCATGTCGTCTCAACACAATTTGATTAAGCTTAATTGTTTTAACAAATTAAAGTGGATTGAACATAAAAACAATTAAGTTATCTTCAAAAATACCTCAATAATTTAGTTTTTTCAGCTTATTTTAAATACGTAGTTTGACATAATTAACAGACCCCCTAGTTTTTCGTGATTTTGCGATGGCTGAATCTAATGCAAAATCAACAAAAAGATTTTTTTTTTGCGATTCTGCAAAATTCTTAATTTAAACACAAAATAATAACAAAAATTAAAATAATATAAATGTATATATATTTAAAATCTAAATTTTTAACGCAAAAAATCACAAAAAGATCATGAAAAACTATAGGGTCTGAATAAAAATAAAACATTTTGAGTGTAGAGAAAGAACAAAGAATACTAACTGCATTTTATTATTTTGTGAATGCTAATTTAGCATTGAATTAAGAAAAATACTGATGTGCTGATAGTCATTCACTGTATGGTGATAATGGACATACACAGTAGAGGTCTGAACCTATACTGGTTTCACGGTTCTGTTACGATTATCTTGCCATCGATTCGGTTCAATTCGATATCTCGGTGCATCACAGTGCATTGACGATGCTTTCCATATACAGTGTTATATTTTAGGGGGGAGGCTATAACAAGCTGTTTGTATAAACACACAGACACACAGCACCGCACTGTCTCTCATTCAAACACATACACAAACATTGACAGCACCAAACAAGCAAGCAAACAAACAAACACACACACACAAACACACACACTTAAGCCCTCGCAACAGGGAGAGCTCGCGCTGAGCGGAGCAGAAAAACGAAAAAATGAAAAAAATAAGCACTTTTCCGACGGTCCCTTACTGAGAGCTTCTCTCAGCGCGAGCTCTGCCGGCTAAAGTAAACGCAGATTGCGAGGGCTTAATAAGAGCAGTGCTCGTAATGTCGAGCGAAAAAAATAAATAAAGACAGCTGTGAAACATAACCAGCTTTGTTTTTCTGTAGGAAACACACTTTAGATCTTTTGAGGGTAAGAGGTTTTTGAGTTATTGTGTCTATACCTGAATGTGTGTCAGGAATATCGAAAACAAAACCAACTGAACCGAGCTCATTTCTGGCGCCCCACTGGATGTACAGCGCCCTTAGCATTTGCCCATGGTGCCTATGCCACGGGCCGGCCATGAGTTGGCTGAGTGTTATAAATACCGGCGCTCACATCCCTCACGACAGAACACATAGGAGATAAATGACGTCAGTACATAATAACCGGTTATGATTATTACTGAATCGATACCAAATTGACCGCGTCTGCATCGCGGTGCACCGAAGAAACAATTAATTTTGACACCCCTAATACACAGTATTGTTCATTATTGTGGACACTTCAAAATACTGTGAATAATCATTTATTATTGTGTTTATTTTATTACTTATTATTTCAAAGTTATTTTTAGAGTGTCTTTTTAAGAATATTCACATTGTGTTGACAGTGGTTGTTCATCACTGCATCAATGCTTGAAGACTTTTGTTCATGAACTCATTTAGCTTCCATTTGTTAACTGTTAATGAAACTAAGGTACATGAAATGACAACTACAAAATCAGGTGATGTTAATGTCTAATAACGCATTAAGAAACTCATAATCATTCTATTATATGTAGTTAATAACCAACAATTTTATTTTATGATTTTTGTTTACCGATGAGACTTTATTGTGAAGTGTTACCTATTGTACTTTATCATCCTTTTACAATTTGATTTATTATGGTGGCTTGAAATAAATCGCTATACGAAAGTGTAGTGACAAATAAAGGCTTGATTGATTGAAAAGCCAACATACTGTTATCTCACTTAAACTTATTATTATTCTGCTTCTTTCTTCTGAGACTAATTTTAAAGTGCATCTCCTCATAACCCTTTCAAGCTTCATACCTCAAACTTTCGTCAAACCTTCAAACTGGTTTGACTCGGGTTGCTATATCTTTTCTGACTGATCCGACATTCGGTTTTCCGAAAAACGACCCGGAAAATTCCCAAAATTCCCATTGACTTAACATTGGGTCAAACTTTGTGAGCTCATAACTCTGCATCAGACTGTCCTACAGACTTCCAACTGGGCTCATTTAACTCAGTCTAGCCAGCAGCCAATAACTGATGACCTTTTAACTTACTAGCCACTCCCTAGCAACCACTTACAGTACCCTAGCAACTGTCCCATAGACTTCCATTGTAAAAGACTGCCATTGACTTAACATTGAGTCAACCTTTGTGAGCTCATAACTCTACATCAGACTGTCCTACAGACTACAGTCAGGCCTCATTCAACTCAGTCTAGCCAGCAGCCAATCACTGATGACCTGTAGACTTACTAGCCACTCCCTAGCAACCACTTACAAGACCCTAGCAACTGTTTTATAAACTATGACTAGCTGTTTTAACACATGCTAGTTTAATAATAATAATTACTCTGAGCATGTATATATCATGAAGCAATACACTAAATAAGGTAATTATACCTGTTAATGAATCTTTTTTTGGCAGCTTAGGTTAATACTGTGATAATACCATATAGGCTACTTTGAGTCTGTTATTTAAAATCTTAAGCAATAATTCACAACAAGAAATATTAGCAGAAGCCAATACAGATCTATTTTCATAACTCTTTTAAAAATGTATTTATTTTTTCCTCACAGAGGCGATGTTTTCTCTCTATGCAAACACTAGTAAGGACACATCAGTCCACACTCGCATCATTTGGTCATGTGACTGGAGCGCTGACAACAAGTACTTTGTGACATCAAGTCGAGATAAAAAGGTAGGTTCTGTTCCTGATGGCATGGCAGCTGTTTTGTTATGTATGGATTTTTAAGAGTTATTATTATCAAAATAATTTTGTTAAACAAGGTTCAATGTGTCTTTGATGAAGTAATCCATTTGCATCATTTCAACTTATTGCAATATAATTATTTTTAATAGTGGGTTTGTGGTGAAAAAGATGTAGGGTAAAATACATTAGGAAAACAAAAATTTGTTGGCCGCTAATTTTCTAGATTTAGCTCATAAAGGAATCTCAACATGTTTGCATTAAAGAGATAGATCACCCAAAATTGAAAATTCTGCCATCATTTACTCACCACTGACTTGTTTCAATATCAAAAGAAGATATTTTGAAAATGTTGGAAACCTGTAACCATTTACTTCCACAGATTTTGTTTTTCCTACAGTTGATGTCAGCTGGTTCAGGTTTCCAACATTCTTCCTTATATCTTTTATACTGTGTTCATCAGAGCAAAAACAAACTCAAATCATTTTTGAATAAGTCAAGAGTGAGTAAACTATAGAATTTTCTTTGGTCCCACTTTATATCAAGTGGCCTTAACTAATATGTATTTACACAGGAATTAATAGTTTGTTACAATGTACTTATTGTGTAAATACATGTATTCATTGTGTACTTATGCTTGATTAAATACCTGTATGTAATTACATCTGTAATTAACTTCTGTAATTACATTTGTAAATACACTGCTGACCATTCCCTACACCTTAACCCACCCATAAACCTACCCACACCACCAAACCTGTCCATTACCCAACCCCCATCCCAACTCAAGTGCACCACAAGTGTTCTCAAATGCATTATGAACACAGTAATTACATTGTATTTACATAGTAGTTAAGTGGGACCTTTTTTTGGGTGAACATTCAATTTAATTGACCCACTACTTGTGAAGATCAAGATTTTAAACGTGTTTTCACTAAGTACTATTAAAACTCTTTATGTGACAAAAAAATGTAATGAGGGAAATATAAATCATTGACTGCATGCAACTTAAAAGTATTCTTACATTCCTCTCCTTGTGATTTGCGCCATTTGACCTTATCGTGTGTGTTTGTAGGTGATCATCTGGGGTCATGCTGGCTCTGGAGTTGCTGTCGGAGAGGGTGAGGATGCACGTGTGACCTCCTGCTCTTCTGTTCTGGATGTTGGAGATTCAGCTACTGCCGTGTCTATCTGCCCATTTCTATGTTCAGATCACAGGTAACGTTACGCAGGATGTGAGGCCATCATTAAAATCAGTGTCATCTCTCTGGGACAAATTTTTACTAATACTTACTTGCATGTGTAGTTATCTGCTGGCTGTGGGTCTGGAAAATGGACAGATTTTGCTGTATAAATGGAAGCCATTGGAGGATCTGTCTTCTGAATCAGACTGGAGCAGATGTAAAGACACCGATGCTTGGTATCCTTACTTTACACTTTTTTTATACTCTTGAAGTTGAGTTTGCAAACTCCCAGTACTCCTGGGACTTGTTTACACCTTTTGTTAAGATGCAAAACAAACTTATGATTTCTGGAAAAAGTCCCATTTAAATCCCATTTGACTAGCACATTTTAACAACCCATTATGTTTAGAAATTGGGTCAGGAGTAAAAAAAAAATCGATGGTCCTTAGTGGCTGATTGAACGTATTCTACAATATGGATGTACAAAAGATAAAGAAAAAAAACTCTTTCCTTTACCAGTTGTGTTTTTTTTATCCTTCTTTAAGTTTTGCTTAAAATGGGACATATCAAAAATACATTTCCATCCATCCACCCTTGGAGGAAGAAAATAGACGGTTTTTAGTGGCTCATCGAACGCATTCGACAATATGCATGTACAAAAGATATATATCTGTTTTTTTTTTTTTTTTAGTCTTTCATGAATTTTTGCTTTTCTGCTTAAAATAGTATATATTTAAAAAATAAATTTCCATATCCATACATCCATATGTACAGAATATAGTTACAAATATAGTTAAATGTTTGGGGCTATTTTATATTCTTGTTAATAAAATATATAAAAATAAATAAATAAAATAAATCGAAGGTATACATATTTTATTATTATTTTTCCTAATATTTCTTAGGTGATATTCAGTGAATTAAGAACATTTTCACAGTATTTTCCTCTTTTATTATTTTTTTCTGGAGAAGGCCTTATTGTTATTTATTTTTTATTTATTTTTGAAAATCATTTAAGGTCAATATTATTAGTTCCCTTAAGCAATATTTTTTTTTCAAGTTGTCTACGGAACAAACCACTTTTATACAATGACTTACCTATTACCCTAACTTGATTTGCTAACCTAATTAGGCTGATTTATACTTCTGCGTCGAGTGATTGCATGACGCACACACATGAAATCATCTGACAATGCCAGAACTTCATCGGAGGAAAAATCTGACGCTAAGCTACCTGCCTAGCATGCAGTCATGCATTTATACCTCTGCATACTGTTTGTGTTGCTCTGCAATAACACTTCCGAAACGCTAGCTGGCAGTTGGTTTTTATGTCGTCTGTATCATTTTTTTAGCTAAAATTCGCTCTTTCAGAAGTGGGAACTGGCGGACTTGCAACAACTTTAATAATAAGGTAAACACAAAACAATTTTCATCTAGAGCTACTTCACGGGACTCAACACTTGTAAACACTCGCTCCAACAGGTTTGTGTTTTGACATTTGCCACAGCTACCAAGCTGACCAATCAGAGAGGTTGTACTATGGGTTGTTGTGATGTGTAGTTACATTTTTTGAGAGGTCAGCCACAGCGAGGGCTATGCGACCATGCGAAGGCTGCACTGGATAAATATTATAAATCAGCCTTTACCCTAGTTTAAAGCCTTTTAAATAAGCTGAAAACTAGTATTTTGAAAATTATCTTGTAAAATATTATGTACTGTCATCATGACAAAGATACTAGAATTCATTTAAAATAGCAAAAGTTATTAGAAATTTGTTTATAAAACTATTATGTTAAAAATGTTAAAAAAATCAAAGTTTTAGATTTTGTTTACAGCAAAATATTAGAATATTTATATTTATTTTGAGTTGTAATGACATTTTAAAATATTTTTATTTGCAATGCCAAAACTGTGCAGTACTTTTAAATTTGAAATAGTTACACGCACTACCCTGTTAAAATGTCCCATGTGTCCCTATAAATAATCTCACGATTCCTCACTCTCCCTAAAAGTGACACGATCTCAAGTTAAACAAGACAGTCATACCTCCTCCCCGAGACCAGCGCTGGTGGTATAATTGACAACAAAAGGGCCGCATGTATCTGAGCTGGCCCACGCTGCTCAGGAGAAGCTTCAGGTTGATACGGGGGCTCCCGTGGGCCGCTTCCGCATTGATCCGTGAAGAGAGAGAATGAGGTGTCAGAGAGAGGCCAGGCCGTGTTGTGCATTCTGTTTGCACCGAGCCTCTCGCTAGCTGTATCTCTCTCCCCCACAGTGGATTGAGTCCCGACTGGCTAAACTCTCTCTTTCTGTAGGTGTAATTGATAAACTGTCTGTGTAGGCACTTTCACGTAGAAGTCACTCACCTTGGGGGCACGAGAAGTGGAATTTGGAGAGGCATTGCGGTAAGTTTTGGAAAGTAAGATTGATTCATGTGTTTCTTCTTCTGCTTGGATTATTTTTTGAATTTGGTGTATATTCACCGCTGGAAGTATTCGGACAGGCAGAGCTGATGTAAAACATCCAGGCAGCATGCAAGGGGAGCTTCATGTTGACTTGAATCAATGTCTATTCATGCTTGTGGCTTTCAGCCCTTGGATTTCTGCATTGTGGAAAAAACAGAATTGTGTATTTTTTTTTATTTTTTATTTTTAAATTTGGCATGAATAAGTCAAATTAGTGCTGTACACGTAGTCAGATCATGATGTTGACTGTTGTCTGTGAATATAAAACTGAAAGATAGTCTTTAAAGGGTCATGAAACACCAAAACACATTTTTTGAGCTGTTGACAGTCGTATATGTGTCCCATGCTGCTAAAAACACTATTAGGACACATATATTTCACTAATAAGTGAAAATTAGTTGTTTTTGCTTTATTTTCGCAATTTTTGTTGCACTATGAAAAAATGCAGCGTGTTTTATTCATTTGTTTGCGTTTTGGGAAAATCCAGCTGCAAATTCGACTAGAATCAAGATGAATCAATGTGGTCATGTCAGAGTAACTGTGCATTCACACTGAAGACGGCGAAAGCGTTGAAGTTCGTTCTGTCCGCCCTGGCAACAACGCTGTCTGCCTTCACTGCTCTGCTGGCGTCAAAATTAACAACATTGATTTCGTATTTAAATGGGCTGTTGCAGCATATCAGCAAATAATTTACATTCCTCCATAAAACATGCTTTCTAGCGTGAATATGTTGTGTGTTTTTTTTTTTTATCAAATTAATTTAACTATAGAAGATCAAGTTGTTGCATGTGGTGTGGCTTTGCTCCACTTAATCAATATGTCTGGCATCTTCTGAAGCAGCAATACCGTTTTGTACTGTCATTATAGTTAGCATGATATTGCCGTTTAAAAATAACGTTAATGCACATCAGCAACTCACCAGTAGCTTTTTTAAAATAAATTTTTTAGTTATGTCCCTGTAAAGGCCGGCTCACATTGCATGTTTTTTTGTTTTATTTTTAATAATCCTAAACTATTGTAGCATGTCAGACTGTACGAAGTCATGTCAGCCGTCATAAAGTCAGAAACTCCCCCGGAATTTGACGTAATCCAGGTGTGACACTTTCACTATCCCGCGTTCTAAAATGATTCCTCACAGCAAACATAAACAATCTGTAGCGGCAATTTTGCACACAGCATGCCTCAATAACAAAACTAGAAAGAAAAAAGCTGTTTTTACATTTCCCCGTGGTCATTTGAGTTGTCGCATGGACTACATCCTCAAATTCGGAGCGCTCCTATTGGTTCTTGGATTGACGCTCATCACTGCTGTTGCCGCACTGCAAGAACGTGTTTGAAATCTTCCAACACTGCCAGAAGTTCATCGGAGGACAAATCTGATCGCAACGAGCACTATTGCTGAGTTCAGACTGCATGATTTTTAAAGTAGTTGTGTCACGGATATTTTCACACTGCATGACTATCTGGGTTAGCGTTCTGTCGGTACTGTGTTTACACTGTAGGATGGATCGGCGACAGGAGAATTCACACTGCTTGGCTTTAAAATAGGGAGAATCACAGACAACTTTGTCCAAAATACGTCTCACAACCAAACAAACAAAAGAAATCACATGGAAACAACATAAGGTCACATAATATATCTTTCGTTATTAACTACATAATGGGAAAAAAAGGCTTTAGCTTTAGAAACTTGTGTTGCTGACCTGGCTTTTGAAGAAAATTAGCAATCTCTTTTTCAATCATAAAACTTTTCACACGGCATGATTTGAATCGTCAACAGCTCTAGATACTTAGCATGCCAAATATGTCACGGGTGTCAGCGACTTATTAATGTTTCTCTCATATTGTGTCCTTGATAGTTTATACTGTGTGATTGTCACTCACGTGAACGATCACTGATTTGCCTGTGATTTCAGGCATTTGTCTGCGATTTCTCAAAACCTGTTGGCGAGTCAAAATCAGGGCGAAAATCATGCAGTCTGAACTCGGCATAAGCGAAGAAGATCACAGATTTTAGCCTAGGATTTCAGGAATCTTTTAGGATTTCCCAAATTAGTCTCAGATGACGAAATTGTGGCTGAAATCTCAGTGTGAGCAGGGCTTAAGAAAACATAAGTAATTGGAAATCCGGCAACCTCAATAATCTAACCCTTGGGAACAACTGTGGTCGGAACCAAAGTTCACAGGACGTGTTCTCTGAAATCCTCTCAAGCGGTGGACTTTTACATTCCGATCACTTGATACCGAATGTTGTCTTAGCGCATTACGATAGAGTTGACTTGATTTCAACTCTCCTTGCCGCTTTTTGCCGACGGCTCTCATTAAAAAAGAATGACTTCCAGCTACTTTGATGCTCTCCCTGCTTTTGGTGCGAACACACAGCAAAAGTTTAATTAGAGATGTAAAAATGTAAAATATTTTATAGGGTTCTTAAAGCTTAGTTATTAGTAATTTCGCCATAAATTGCTCAACTGAATAGGAAATGGGGGAAAAAATGGAATGAAAAAAAATGTAATTCAGAAGTGCATACTTTCCTTAACCAACTATTACAGTCAGGGTCACACAATGGTGGTAAAGAGGCTGCGCTGGAGGCCGAGGCTGGGACGAGGTGGCCATGGTGGACAGGACAGCAAAGAAGAGCAGGCCTGGGTCCAGCTAGCAAGCGCTGGTGCCGATCATGTCGTCAAAATCTTCGACATCAACCTATCTGCACTATGACCTGCTGATATTCAGCAGTGACAAACTACATCTTCTGAACTGCTGAAACATTTTCAGCAGGCATGGGGGATGATGGGAGCCTTTTTCTCATTCCCTTAAATCAGCTTCTGTTCTTTTGAATTTTAACTCTATTACTTACGGCCTGTAAACACAATATGATGTCCTATTTATGGAGTACTGCTTGATGTAAACATATCACTTTGTATTACAATAAATGGCTCTTTTCTAGTAATGAAATTTCACTGGAGTGATGTATCTCAAGCTAACTATAATTCTTTTATTTTCTTTTTTTAAAGCACCACAAGTCCCACGAATCCTCTTGTAATAACCTACAGGCATAAGTGACGGTAAGAGAATTGAAAATCCGGCTCACATCCTCTGTTTCCAGTGCCTGAAGGACAGATGAACATTCGGATAAGATGTACAATGAGCCGTGAGGGCCATAGACTCACCAGGCGTGAATCATTCACAGGAGAAATAGTGTGTTTCATTTAGGGAAAAGTGCTCCTTTTTATTGAGCGCTTCCTTTATTGAAACCAATGACATTCATCCTTGAGACATTAAAGGAATGTTTTCTGGCTTCAGTTCAGCTCGACGACATCTGTGACATGCTTTCGATTACCACAGAAAATAATTTACTCAAAACACCACAGCAAATGCTAAAACACCTAAAAATACTCGTTTTGAAAGCATGGCTGCAAGACTACATGGTGTAACCAAATCACTTTTGTAAGGTTATATGCAATTTTTTTACTTGTCATAATGGTAAATCCTGGAAATTTCCTATTAAAGTGCTCTTGAAAACTCTAGGAATACTAAACTTAAATTATTACTGTTTTTTTAAGTATAACCACAAGATTTAAACCTGGTTACCATACTGTATGGTGAACTACAATTTTGTTTACTTGATTGCTGAAAGGTTATATGTGAAACTTGTCATTCTGATAAACCCTGTACTTTACCTATTGTAAGTATACATGAATACTAGAAAGAGACTTTAGGATTTCAGTTTAGGTTGTTCACTTCTGGTTTAAATCCAGACCCAAAATAAAATGATTAATTTAGCCCTGGTTCACTTAGAACCTTCTACAAAATAGGAAAAATAAACAAAATAATAAAAAAGGATAATAATATATTTGGAATATCTACTGCAGTAATTTCTGCAGCCTGTTTTGAACTTGAAAATGTGATATTAGAACCATAGTGAAATGAATGGGTATGCCTGAGCATTCTGTTGTTTTTAGGGTCATATTTTGTGACATCATGTACATTACCTAACAAGTCTTGTCATCTATCAAAGTTTTAGGAATAACAAATAATAACTTGACTTCTATTTGATCGTTTGATAATAGAAGCGACTAATACGAAAGGCAAAGGCCTCTAGATTACGCTAATTTTAGCTAAATAAAATATGATTTCATTTGAAAATGATGATCATTACATTAGGAAAGTAAGGTCTGACTTTGCTTAGACAAAAGTCTTGTCAGCGAACAGAAAAAATGTACAGTAAAGAATATGAAGTCATGGTGAAGTGGAAAAGAATCAATATCATGTATGACTCCCATGAGCTTGGACGTGTGCATCTATACATCTCTGCAATGACTCATACAACTTATTAATAAAGTCACCTGGAATGGCAAAGAAAGCGTTCTTGCAGGACTCCCAGAGTTAATCAAGATTCTTTGGATTCATCTTCGAAGACTCCTCCATCTCAATAATGTTCATATCTGGTGACTGGGCTGGCCAATCCTGGAGCACCTTGACTTCCTTCTCAGTAACTTTGATGTGGAGACTAAAGTATGAGGAGCAGCACTATATCCTGCTGAAGATGTCACTTTCTGTGGTTTGTAATGTAATGGGCAGCACAAATGTCTTGATACCTCGGGCTGTTGATGTTGCCATCCACTCTGCAGATTTCTCGCACGCCGCCATAATGAATGTAACCCCAAACCATGATTTTTCCTTCACCAAACTTGACTGATTTTGTCAAGATTCCAATAGGTCTTCTGCAGTATTTGATGATTGGGATGCAGTTCAACAGAGGATTCATCTGAAAAATCTACCTTCTGCCACTTTTCCAAATGATCAACCAGAAGTCAAGTTATTATTTGTTGCTCTTACAACTGAGATCGACAAGACTTTTGTCAAGTTGTGTACTGTTTGTAGTTCATTTAAATGGTTTTGGTCCATATTGCATTCATATTTGTTTGTAAATTAACTAACATCCATCATTTCAGCAGTCCACTTGTCTGGTGTGCACCAAGATTTAGACGGCAGTGTTCATCCTTACTGAAAATGCACTAACAAAACAATCACACCTTGTTTCAAAATGGAACCAAACCTGTCAAATGTCAACAGAATCTTACACATGAGGGCCTCAAAACAAGGGCTGTCTTAAATCCAGGCCCGACTTCCAACTGTCAAGCCATGTTCAACATCTACGTGAAGACCTTTCCAAGAGTCAAAATGATTTTCTTTGGTAAAGTTTAACATTCCTAAACTTTATCTGTTGTACTGCAGTAACATGGTTCGCTGTGTGCTATTTGAGGACAGCCACTGACCCGTCTATGTTTTGCTGTTTTGAAACGTGAAAAGGTCTTCTGTGTTCTGTCTAGTACTGACATGTTAAATATTTGAGCGCCTGATGGAATGGGAAAGCTGACTGTGACATGCAGGCTGCTTACATCCTCCAGCATCCAGTTTGGCATGAAGTCCCTGCACACTCAATAATTCATCACACTTGATGTACAGAAGCACCCGTTACAGATTCATCTGTCTTGCCTTTCTGTTTTATGATTGTGTAAAAGTGTGAGAGGAAGAGCAAAACATTGTTTAGTGTAGAGCTTTTCAGTGAGGCAAAGTAGGAATTAAAGAGAAGGTTCGCTAAAAATGAAGGGTTTGCCTTTATTTGGGTGTACTCGCCCTCATGTTGTGAGGTAATACTTGATTCTGATTGGTCACTCGCGGTATCAGGTGATCCCATCAGTCCGCTCAAACAGCTAATAGGTGCGTTCGACTTCATGCAGCGCTGCGCAGATCGATCGAAATCTGTCTTAAAGCGGTGCATTCTGGTTAGAAATCTTGTCCGGATTGATGCTGCGCCGACGCCACGTGACTGTCACATGTGGCATCAAAGTACCGCGACAGCGCTCCGAGATCAGACGGCAAACTCAGACCATGCAGCTTCTGAAGAGCGACTGCAGGAGCTTTGATGACGACACCGATATTACACGATTGGCCGAGTTCACCACATGACAACAAACACGTGTATTTCGGGTTTATAATTGGACAAATTCCGATTCAAAAGTTTCAAAACAAACAATTCACTTTTCACACCCTCTCTATCCTGTACACATCTTGCTTATTAAAAGACTACAAATATTTTACTGCAGTAATCATCTTTTGTTAAATAATCTGGTTATAAAGGTTAGCTTGTTTGCACAGGTTTATTTTTTAACTTTTTTATACAGACTATTTACTGCATTCATCTCCATGAACGATTTAAATGATATATTTTAGTGAATAACCTAAATATGAACTCAAATAAGTCTTACAGACTTGAAATAAGAAAATCATCATCATTGATCCTGCCACCCTAAAGCTCTCTTAACAAATTAAAGTAAAGAACTATTTTATTAAATAATTATAAAATGGCTTTATTATTATAATATAAATATGTATTTTATTTCCTGTTTAGCAGCTTAAAGGCGACCTGCTCTTTCTGGGAAACTTCTACATCGCTCACTTATTTTACCTTTTGTTCTTTTCAACACAATCTTTTTGGATTAAAATGCTTTTTTGAAAATTCATTCATTATCCAAAATAATGTCATTTATTAAGACCTAATCAAAACACCTTGTTTTGCTTTTTACATGGGAAATTTTTATATCTATAAATGTACATAAATGTACATGTAAACCATTTTTTAGCAGATTCAAACAAGAAGTATTAGCCTAAAGAGTGATGTTTAACTCCTAGAATTTATGCTTATTGCTTTGTATTTAATAGACCTGTTCGTTTTTATGTTTATATTAACCTCTCATTTCCTCTTATTTCTCTCATGCATTTGTTATATATTTTATTCATAATTCTCCCTTATTGTTTAAAAAGGAACTATAGTTTGTAGAAACTGTATTCTGATTTATTTGTAAATGTTTTGTTGTTATAAATAAAAATAACAAAAAAATATGATGACGCCATGTGATCGGTCATCATGACTGCAGCAACTTTGAGTCCCGAAGTGTCCAGCTGTCCGTCTTGACGGCTCCGTTTTGAACTCCGCCCCGCCTGCGCTCGGCTAATCTCGTTGATCACCGGCTGCAGCTGAGCTTCATGTCGAACGCACCTAATATCACACCTCGGGCATGTGCTGTTTCAATACGCAATATTTCTTTAAAACCAGTCCTTGTCCACAGATCAATTTGGTGAGCATCGCAGTGTTAGATTTTATTATTTAACTTTAATAAAAACGAGGTTGTGAGGGATAAAACTGTTTTATTGGATTGTAGGCTACTACTTTTTGCTCAAAATGCTAACTGTTCAGCTAATGAAACACCTTTCCAAAAACGTTTCCATACAAAGTTTCGTACCAGAACTCCCTAATGTCGAATTGAAGGGTATGCAGTTCCTGTTAAAAATGTACATTATACTGTTTATTTTGATGTAACTAAATTAAAATGGCACATTTTAAATAATGAATAACATTACTTCTCTATTTCCACAGTTCATAATGAATTAAATTAAAGAAAAGAAAAAAGTGGTACAGGTTTGGATCAGCGTAAAGGTGAGTAAATGACAGAAAATGTATTTGTTGTCAACTATCACTTTAAGTAATTATTAACCTTCATAACTATTTAAAATCTATATTTTGGAATTACAGGTAAATCTGTAGCCTTATAATAATATTACATGTCATAACTTCTTATTTGGTTAAGTTATAAGATGTGAAACTTCAGACCTGTGGCCAGCCTGGTGAAATAGGTGGTTCTTTTTCTTTCTTTTCAAAATTTGGACCTTTTTAGCTATTTGCCTCATTTTCTATTTAACCTAACTTAGTTAAGTATTTATAGTTTATATAGCTGCTGCATTTTAGTGACATTTAAAGCACTATTTATTTCTGGATTAGCTTGTCAGGTGGTACTCATAACCACACGAAATATTTCCTAAAGATTCAGAATAAAGAAATATGAATATATATATTTTTATGTTATTACACGTATTATTTTTATTACATATCATTAGGTTAAAAAAGTAATCTGTTTTAGTTTTAAATTAAAAACTACATATTAAGGCTTTAGCCTATTGTCATTTATAAAGCAAATTACAAACTGGCCAGCACATTCAACTTTTCTCCACTTGACTAATAATAAAAATTATACATGATGATAATAATAAGGTAGAGCTTCCTGATTTTTCTAGCCTCTCGTAAAAAATGTACATTTGAAAATTCATGGATAACAACTATAGCTTAATTATTAAAATGAACTTTTATATGCTTCAAATGCTTGTTGTGCTGTACTTTTTATTAGTCATTGTTTTAAAAAAAATATATACCAAAATTAGGTTAATCTGCCAATATCGTAAGCAAAATAAACTTATGTCAAAAAGAAAAACAAGATTATTTTACTTACCCCATTGGCAGATTGATTTGCTTGTTTAAATTATGTTTTGCTTGTCTAAAAAATTTTATTATGACATAGCAGTCAACGTAGAACAAATGAGCTCATGTAGGGTCAAATTTTGGACCTGTCAGTGCAGGGTGGCTTCTTTCAAACCACTCGAACCCCACCCCCCGGCTATGTGCCTAAAC